TCATGGCTTCAAAAATGCACTACGCGAACGCGACCTGAGCACTGCGAACGCGATGCTTTAGACCCTTATACCTACACGAACGCGTTCCATCACATGCGAACGCAAAGAACACTTACCACTGACCCACAACTCCTTATACGCGAACGCGAGAAACCTCCTGCGAACGCGAAGCACCAGCTTCCAACCTTACGCGAACGCGAGCCCTCCTTCGCGAACGCGAAGGCCAACCTCAAATCACCCCAACATCCTTCTACGCGATCGCGACTAAGCCCACGCGATCGCGAAGGGCAAAAAATCTCTGCAACAGCTGTGATCAATTTCTGCAACTTTTCAACATAGAAAATGGTCCGATTGACCATCCGAAACTCACCCGAGGCCCCCGGGACCTCATCCAAAAATACCAACACCTCCCAAAACCTCATTCAAACTTATTCCAATCATCAAAACACCTCAAACAACACCAAATCCGTCAATTCACATCGAATTCAAGCCTAAGTTTTCTAAAAACTTCCGAAACACGCTTTTGATAAAAAACCTAACCAGACCACATCCAAATGAGCTAAAATTTTGCACACACATCCCAAATCACATAACGAAGCTACAACAACTCTCGGAATCCCATTCCGACCCTCGGATCAAAATCTCACCTATCAACCGGAATTCGCCAAAATACTAACTTCGCCAATTCAAGCCTAATTCTACTCCGGGCCTCCAAAACCACTTCCGGTCACACTCGTAAGTCACAATTCACTACCCGAAGCTAATCGAACCATCAGAACTCACATCCGAGCCCTCTAACTCATAAGTCAACGTCCGGTTGACTTTTCCAACTTAAGCCTTCTTCAAAGAGACTAAGTGTCTCATTTCTTACCAAATTCACTCCGAACTCAAACCAATCAACTCGACCACATAAAAACACGGATAACGAAGCATAAAGAAGCAGAATTGGGGGAAACGGAGCGGTAACTCATGAGACAACTGGTCGGGTCATTACATCTCCGCTCAAAGAAAACGTACCCAAAGTAAAGGGATACGTGTAAAAATATGTAAAACCTTCCCTGGGAAGGGTCACTCGCTCCGATAGCTCAAGAGCAATGATGTCCAACTCATGGCAGTGGCAGTCTTCCTTCACAGTAGGAATACTGGAAGAGCGAATTGATGAAGGATACCTACTAACAGCCCATAAACAAGAGTTAGCAGTAGGGAATTTCTCTTCGAAGTCTTCTGCGGTGTTGAGACTTCGGAGGATGATGGAACCTACCGCTTGAGGAGCAGAGTCCTCAGCCTTGTTCTTTTTCTTTGAAGAACCAACACATTTGGAAGAAGAAGCCATTGAATAAGAAGAAGGAGAATGGTTTGGTTCGAAGAGAATTAGGAAAAAGATGGAATACAAAAGATGCAAGTTAGAAGTTTGAGAAATTATGGGGTACATAGAAGAAGGTGATGCGTATAAGTAAAATTTTGGCTGCTAAATTCATGGCTATGATTACCTCGATAAACGGCAAAGGTTGTGCTAAATCATTGGATGACGCGTTCGGAGAATTAAATGCAGAGAGAAGTGCGTCTAATCAACTGCCAAAAGCCTGCAAAGAGAATTATAGTAATTCCCGCCAAAAGGAGTATTTCTACTAACTTCCCAGTAACACAAGATTGTGTCACCGAAAAGCAGGGGGACTATCTGTATAGCGAAAAATATGATATGATACGTGGCCATCTAAAGGAAGGACACGTGGAACCCAAGACGGAGATGGTCACCGAACGCAACTATTTCGCTTCACCTGAAGAGAATGTTCATAAAGGTGTATTAAATGCTTTGCGTCTGGTGTCATTTAATAGAGAATATTCTGCAGCATTAAGAACGGCAGCCCGTTACAAGGAATTTGGCATTTATTTCTACCGTTACACCTTCATCAATGGCCCTTATAATTGGCATTAAATGAGGACACAATCCTAGGACCTCCTTCCCTAGACACAATTATAAATAGAGAGCTCAGTTATCATTGTAAAGGACACGATTTTCCTGACTAATTGATACTACATTCTATACAAAGCTTAATACAATTTAGCTTTCGTGCTTTAGATCTCATCATTGTTGTGCCCGAAAACCTTGTTCACGGATTCGCCAATTCTGTTATTTCATCTACATTTTACGGCTAAGTATTATATATTTCTTCAGCTATTTCATTATATTCAGGATCAAATTAGTTCACTTGCCTAGAAACCACGTATAAATTCAACTGTAGCGTTTTACAGGTAAACAATAAACAAGTTAAGAGGTTTAACATCTAATATATATAGTGTAATTTTCGACGAAAAGGTTCCGCTGTACCGTCTGTCCACCTAGCTCCCGCCCTGTGTATATGCAATCACAACCAAACAATAGAAGACCTTTAGATTTAATAAATTAGATTCACATATACACACACAAATCTTTTTATAAAGCAAATCGACTTCGATTCTTGAATAATCCACCGCACATAAGACGATTCCTCTTTCTATACTCAATTACGTAAGAGTCCAGAACCGGAAGCAATTTGTGTAGCACAAGGTTTCTAATATATATAGTGTAATTTTCGACGAAAAGGTTTCGCTGTACCGTCTGTCCACCTAGCTCCCGCCCTGTGTATATGCAATCACAACCAAACAATAGAAGACCTTTAGATTTAATAAATTAGATTCACATATACACACACATTTGTGTGTTGCCGTGTGTGTTATTAGAAGCCTCCACCTCAAATTCATCAAAGTAACTGTTATATTTTGAATACTAAAACATTAGCAGGTAAAGAAAAAGGAGGAAGACTTCTCTGTTGGTTTAATTACTACTGGATCTTTCTTTCTTTTTTCCTTTTCTTTTTTCTGCATTATATAGGACTCAAAAACTGCATGCTCTGACAAGGAAAATTATGTTCTAGATCGTAGAAAGAAACAACTTTATATTATTCTGTGAATATTTATTTCACTTATTAGTTCTATTACTCCTTTGTAAAATAACAATGATAATTGTCCTCTCCCGTGCAGAACAACGTAGTCATCGCTTTACTTGACTTTGAATTTAATACTGTAGTTTAATAAATCAATGTAGTGGTTGATCTGATAATTTTCAAACTTAACAAGGATATCAGTAATTTAGTACTTAATTAATTTCTGATGTCAATGAAGATTTAGAATAAATCATTTCCGATTATTGTGTGTACATCTATATCTTGGGTAGTTTCTATCAAATCTTAATTTCTCTACCTGCTACTGCTAGGTAAATAGGATTTGGTCTGTGTAGTTGTTTGTTTGGCTCAAAAGTTAACGATATACTTTGTAAGCGATAAAACAATCAAAAATAGAAAAGGGGTAAATCGTAATCAAATATAATAAGCCTAGAGATGCAAAGATGATAATATTGTTGTAGATCTGATATTGCAAAGTGATAATGTTTACCAATAAGATATTTTCGTTAGAGGTAGAGATATAGAGAGAGAAAGCCAGAAAAACGAGAGAGTTGTATTAGATCAGATCCCCTTTTTACAATGTGGAGGTCTCCTTTATATAATAGGAGACCTTCCTCGAAAGAATCAAAAAGTTACAAAAATAGGTAACGTCTCCCTATCGTGGACGCTGAGTTCTAAACGATGTCGTTTTTGTCCTCACGACCGAGTTGTACCTGCTACGTTGGTCGGCGTACACTCATTGGGCGTACCCGCTGGCGTACCCTATACAGTTAGTCCCTCCGCTCGTTGGAGACGCGTTCGGTGGGCGTCATCGACGGGCGGAAATACGAACCTCAGCTTAGGAGAATTTGACCTCGACCAGGGGCGGCAATATGAATGAAGTGAAACATATGACGTTGTTGAGCCGCTGACGCGTGGCTTCCTTTTTGGAATGATGCCTGTATGCATCATCATTATATTTGCCCCCGAGGCGGTTCAGAGGATAAAGTGACGTTTTGGTTTCCGGCGCACGTTTTGAATCATGACTCTTCGATTCCTGTGCAACTTATCCTTATAAGTATGAGAGAGGTTCGATCTGATTCCACTTTCAAGCCGCTGAAAAGTATTTTCTGATACACTCCTTTGCCTTCCTTTCTTGTAACCGTTATTTCGTGAGGGACTCTCCCACTTCTGTTGAAACCACACTTCCTATCGTCAGTGCTTCGTTTCTTAAGTAGCATAATCATGACAAAACGCAGACAGAATAATAAAAAGGCCAAAGATAATGCCCCGTCTAGGGTTCCGCCATCTTCCGGTGGTGAAGGGGAAAAGGCGGAGAAGGCCCTTGTTCCTCTCAGCGTAGACAATGTCCTTCCGAAGGAGACGCACGTTCGCAGGGATTTTCCAACTAAAAGCCCTGATCTTCCCTGGGAGCACAGCGTTTTACTACAATCCCATTTAGATGATCTGCGAGAGATGCACCATATTCCGGACCACGTGGAAATGGTTCCGGCCGGGACGGATTATGCCAATGTGCACCGGCCTGGATATTGCACCTTCTATGAGTACCCGTTCTTGATCGGTTACGACCTTCCAGTCTACCCTCTGGTGGAGGAGCTTTGCCGTTTTTACAATGTGTGTCCGGCCCAGCTCACTCCCTATACTTTGAAGGTGTGCCGTATCATGACCACTTATGCGGCCAGGGCCGGGTGCAGCGTCTCGGTCCACCACCTCTTACGGTTGTTCATCGCTGGTTACCTGAGGGGTACCATGCTGCAGCTGAAAGGTCGTGGCGCAAAGGGCTTGGTCGTTAAAGCCGATGATAAGCCCAACCGCCGCTTTTGGCGTAAATATTTCTACATCAGGACGGAGCACCTGGTGTCGAATCCCGAGGGGTTCCCGGAAAGATGGAATCCAGAACGTAAGTATTTCTACTTGTAGATTTTAGTGCTGCTTGCGCCTTCGACCATACGGCCATAGTGACCTTTGTTTTTCTTTCCTCTTTTTTATTCGCAGCGAGGGCTTCTCCACCCCAGCTTGTTGATGACATTAAATCGTGGGTGGAAAGGATAATACCCTATGCGGAAGAGTGCCGTACCTGGGCTGCATTTCTTCGGCAGTACGACCCGTCAGGTAATTCTTTGGCTACGGTTTGGGGATTCCCTACGTATTTGTTATGACTTATTCGCGTTGGCAGGTCGGAGCGCCCCTAAGAAGAAGAAAAAGAGCGTCGTCATCTTACCTGGGGCGGGTACTGATTCTGAAGATGGATACATTCCCTGCGGCTCGCCTAGTGATGGTGCCGCGGAGATTCCTCAACCGCTGCCTGTGGCGGCGTCCGCGAGGGGAGCGACTCCTTCGACACCATCCCCTCGGG